TTTCAATTGTCCTGTAAAAGATTCAGTGATAACGGTGGCTATCACCTTTTCATCATTACCAACCAATTTGCTGGCACAAGCATACATAGTCATATAGGCTATCATGTCATGAATCTGATATTCAGATTTCCCATCTAAATTTCATTCGTAGAATGTATTCCAATTATATCCGACTTGGGGTTTCATTGGTTCTTCAAATAGAATATCAACTTGGGTATGCCTAGAATAATAAGGCTTTCTATTTTGGTAGGAGAGTTTATTTATCTCCAGATTTTTAATGGATTCATTCCCGGCTACGGATTCATTATTTGAATATTCTCCCATGAAATTCACTGATCTGGATTCTGATAAATCATCTTCCTTTTTGGTTTTAATAGATTTGGAAGTTTCTCCCTTTTCCCAAATTAAGGGGGATATCAATCTGGCTAATAGTTATTGATAGCTTATTTTTGACAGGTCTACTAGGTTTGTTTTGATTTTCATATTTTCGGGGAAGCTCGGCATAATGGCCATTGGTCTTTCTTTTTTTATTATTGCTCTGGATTTAGAGATTTCTAGTGAGCTTAATAAAGATTCTATCATGTTGGTTTGTTTTTCTAAGACCTTTAGGCATATGTTTGTATAATTATTTTGTTTTATTATTTGAGAACAATGTTCTGGCGAGACCTTTTCATACTCTTTTATTATCGTTGAGTTTTTTATTGGGGTAGATATAAGCTCATCATTTCCTATCTTTATAGCTTCTAAAGGTGGATGTATTGATTCCACAATTTTCCCGATTGCTGTTGTATTCCAAGCTTTAGACAGCTTTTTCTGTAACACATAACTCTAATTCTTCAAAGGGAGGTTGTATAAACTAGTTCTGTTTTGCAAATCAATCCCAAAAAGGGATATTTTCCTTAGTTTTCATCATGCCATCATATCACACTTCTCTGATACAATCCCTTTATTCTTTAGGGATTTTTTTAAAGAACCATGTTTTCTTTAAGGGTTGCGAATTAAAATCTAACCTAATAATGTCTTTATCTATTTGAAATTCATCTTCTATTTCCAGAATGTTAATTTCAAAGTCTGCTTCTGTAGCCTCTCTATATTTGTCCATGAGCTCTTGGTGAGGGAAGATATCATCGGAAGCTCCCCAAGAGGTCCACCAAACATATGCCCAGTCAGGGTATGGGCTTTGAAAATCTTTGGAGAAACAAATGAACCATGAATGTCTAAAAATGGAATTCTTCAATAGAAAGACTCTGTTGTAATAAAATACAAGATTCCTATAGCTCCTATTTGCAATTAAGGAACTTGTCTGAAGTCTACTTTCCCTATGGTAAAAGACCTAAGACAAGAAGTCATTCTGGGAACTCCATTCTTATTGTCCATCCTCCCTTGCCAAATTGATTCTTCAGGTATCACGACAACAATAGGAGAAATTCCGGTTACTTCTAAGTTTTGCCAAAAACCCAGAGCTTCAACTATTAACACTCTAAAAGAGAGTGTAAAAGGCAAAGTAAAGATTATAGTGGAATTACAAACCGAGGTAAAAGAAAGACAGCTGATTAACCAATTTGAAGAGCCCAAAATGCAATTAGAAATTGAAAAATTCCAAACAAAGTTAACGAAGGAAATTTGCGCTGAAACACATAGTGCATTCTGGCATAGGAAAAATCTTACAGTGGAATTACCATATGAAGAAGATTTTAGAGAAAAAATTCCCACAAAAGCTAGACCAATTCAAATGAACAATAGATTGTTGGAAATCCGTAAAAAAGAAATCCAAGATTTATTGGGGAAGGGTCTAATTAGRCCAAGCAAATCCCCCTAGAGCTGCCCTGCTTTTTGTGTAGAAAATGGATTAGCAGCATCTGCTAAGAAAATGAAACTCTTCCAAACAAAAATTTGATTTTTAGGATATCAAATATCCAAAGGGAAAATAGCGACAATCCAAAGATTAATAGAATTTGTTGATGAATTCCTTGATGAGATCAAAGATAAAAAACCCAACTTCAAAGATTGTTAGGCAGTCTAAATTATGTAGCAGACTATTACAAAGGAATAGTGCAAGACCGCCAATTACTCAAAAGAAGACTGAAGAAGAACCCTTCAGAATGGAGCGAACAGTTCACTCAAACAGTGAAAAAAATTAAGCAACGGGTAAAAACCCTTCCCTGCCCCAATATTCCTCACCCAAAAGTCTCAAAGATAATGGAAACTGAGGCTAGCGAAATAGGATATGGAGGAATCTTAAAACAAAGAAGAGATGGGAAAGATGAGATAATCCGGTTCACCTCAAGAACCTAGAACGATACCCAGAAAAAATACTCCACTGTCAAAAAAGAAATGCTCAGCATAGTTCTTTGCATTACTAAATTTCAAAGTGATTTGATAAACCAATATTTTACTCTTCAAATTGATTGCAAGTCGGCCAAAGAGATTTTGGAAAAGGATATTAAAAACCTGGTTTCAATTTGCTAGATGGCAAGCTATTTTGTCAGTTTCTGATTTTGTTATCAAATATATTAAAGGATCTGAAAATGCTCTGCCAAATTTTCTAACCAGGGAATTCTTGCAAGGTTATCTAATTAAAGATGACCAACAAAAGCCTTCGTCTTCCTCTAAGTCCTTATTCCAGGTGCCCTAAAAGGACTAATGAATCCAATCCAAGATCAAATTATAAGATCGGAACAGGTTCAAGGATTAATCAGTCCCTATCAATATCTCCCTTAATTAGGGAGCCATCTCCAGCTATGGGAGAAGCTAATTCCAGCCAGTACATTCCGAATTCCTCAGATTTCGTGGTTCTTATCTCTCGAGAAGAAGCCACCTCTGTCTCCACTCATGTCAATCTAGAGGGGGCTCTCCAGCACCTTGTCCTCTCCATTCTAGACGAGCATCATTTCATTGTCTGTGGTCAAAATAAGGACTAGAAGTATTATGAAGAAATTCTCCTTCATATGGGATCTGTGCGAATTCAGCATTACTTCAGAGACCCAAATAAAACTGAACTAGCTTATTCTAAGCAAGTAATAGTCAAGCTTATATCTTTGTTTGCCTGGGGTGATGCAAGCAAGCCAAGTACTAAGCCTATTGATAGAAGACCCAAAATATTCAATTACTGGGATTATCAAAACGCTTGATATAGTCTTTCTATTACAAAATTCCATTTTTAGACATTCATGGTTCAATGCTTCTCCGAAGATTTTCAAGGCCCTTACCCTGACTGGGCATACGTTTGGTGGACCTCTTGGGGAGCTTCCGATGATATTTTCCCTTGCCAAGAGCTCATAGACAAATATAGAGCCTTTGGTAAAAGAAGATTTTATCTAGAATTCGATCATGTAAAACAGTTCAAGTTCTTTAAGACATTTCGTCTCCCCTGGATTCTAAAATGGAGTTATCACTTAGATGTTTCTTGGATGCCTCCAACTATTGAAAGGAAAATTGAGATAAAATGGTGGGATAAATTTGATCTCACAGATGTCCTCAAGCCCATCTCAGAAGAAGACGGCATTTTCCAATCCATCTTTGAATCCTACATGGACAAGCTTCGAAGTAAGTTCCCCGACTTGGACCCATTAGAGCTCGAAGAAATGTCCCTACGTATGGCCGAAAAGATGAAAGAGAAAAGTAAAGGCATCTCGAACGACCTCGAGGCGGAAAGTGTTCGCTCTCTCAGCCCGCACCAAGGTCGTGACACTATTTGAGGATTCCATCTCATCCAAAACAGTAAAAGTTTTGACAGCTGTTCCTAATAGGACAAGAAGGTGATAAGGGAGCATCTCAATAATTAAGATGCGCAATAAGAAAAGGTCAAGAGGCATCTCAATTATAGGAGCCTTAGAGATAAGATCGAATAAAGTGGCTTCAAGCTGTCTCGCTCTGGAAATCTCGGCTACCTCTATATAAACCTCTCTTCTCTCAAGCAAAAGGGTGTGCAAGTTTTTGGGTGCAAGATTTGAAGAGAAGTCTATAAGTCTTTACAAGTAGTGTAATAAGTTTTTCTTTCTGAGTGACTTGAGTGTTTTCTTTCCAAGAGATTTCTTGTAACAGTGTGAGAGTGTGATGTTGTACCTGTGTGAGCTAAATTTCTGTAAGTACTGTTATTAAGATTTCTATCACAAAGTCTTTCAATCGTTATATGTTTTCTATTTTATCGACTCTATTATACCGATCATCTCCCTGCATGTCATTACTGTTCATCTTCATTCATATTCTAATGCAACTCTTGTAGTTCGTGCATACTCCCCATTTGGTATCAGAGCCTATTGATCCATAAATCTCTCATGTCTCAGCTATAATTTCCAAAGCTCTTGATCCCTTTCTGTTCTATCTTCTATATTAACCTTACGCCTTCCAACATTTGAACCTGTTTCTACCCTACTCAGATCTCTGGTCACTAGAAAGTATCCTAGAACCTTTGGCTAGAACCCAAAGACTGTAGCTTCTTCGGAGATATCACTGGGCTAGAATCCCAGTTGGACAATCTAGACACCTGCCGGTTTTGCCGAGGTCGTAGTCGCATTGTAGGCCGAAGAGTGAGGGCCGTGAAAGTTGACTGACCATATTTTGGTGAAGTAAAAGGATAAGATGAAGTTATTTAGGACCGCATCTAGTTCCCCTGAAGACTCTGGAGAAAGTAGTAGCAGGGCATCTTTAGCGAAATCCATGTCTCTAAAAAATATGGAAAAGTAAAGATCGAAAATCAATTCATCTTTAGCGAAATCAATATTATTATTATTGATTTGCTTTTTCATTCTCCAATGTGCTGTACGGGGGATGTGCGCAATTGACCCCCAAACAATGTGCTAGATTATGCCGATGCATTGGTGTTTCTGTATAAATTGGCATAAACAAACATGGTTTTTGGTTGTTTATGCAAAAACATGATGTTGTTAGCTGTTCAAAGCAACAGCAGATAATTACCACAACACCAAATATGAAATATCGTTTAATTTCAAATTGGGTTATAAAATGGTTGGTCTAACAGAGCTAGGCAAACTGTACAGATTGTTCTTCCTCTTAAAATAAGGGAAAGAATCAGTGAAGCTCATCTTGACCCCAGCAGCAGSAGAGAGATATGCAACAGCGAAAATCCACGTTGGGACGGCCATCAGGCACTGATGGCTCAGACTTCTCCTACCGCATGGTGGTTGATCCTAGTAAGTTTCTTTGCATGCAATTTTTAAAAAAGTTGTTTCCTTTCGATTTTATAATAATTAACTATAATATAATGCAGGGTATAAAAAGGTTGCTGAGGGGAAGTCTCGACTATATACATTTATTGTTATTCAGGTATTCTGAAGTCTGGACCTGTACCTACTTTTATTTGTTATTGCACTGTTTTTATTTTTGTTGTTTTTTTTTTGGGTAAACCACAGATGGTTACCCTGTACTTAGGAGGTGATAACACTTGGCCCACCGAACTGCTAGATTCCCACTTTGCCCCATTACCCACTAACGGGGATGACAATGAAAGTAAAATTACTAAATTGCCCATTTGAGATTCTATGGGCTGACAGCAACAAATATCAAATGATTGAGATACCATTAGCACAAGTCGTTCTCAAAGCATTGATTAAATGATTATTTCAAGATGTTCTCAACCTGAACCTTATCGAAAGAAAATTGAGAGAAACATGTGAGAGTTAGGATTTTAGAAGAACTAAAGTAAAAGGGAAAAATGGACTCATAAAATAACAATAGGGTTGTTTGGGGTTTTAGAAATGTTTAAAATAATATTCCATGAAGTTAACTGACAGAATGCTAACTGCGGGAGCAAAGTGCTAGAACCCAAAAGTTCAGGGGGGTCTTTGTTGCAAGACAAAGTTTGGGGGGCTGAGTGTCACTACCCCTTAAGTACAGGGCAGACTGTCTGTAACCCAAAATTTTATTGATTGTGAATAAAGAATCAGTTATGTATAACAGTATTGAGCAACCCAAAATATTAGGCCAGCATAAAGCCACCTAGCCCAACACTTTTGATCTACGGTATTGTTTCTGTTTCTTCTATGATTATATTATTCAAATTTAAATTGGAATTCTGCAATTGTAAACCATTTGTAGAACAAATTTGATGCAATTGTACAGAGAAAGGACCTGAACATGAACTACAAGATTTTTGTAGCTTGAGATTCAAATCAATTGTATTAAAATTTATAATTCAGATTCTGTGTTCTAAGACTTTGAGACGATATTTTACTATGTTTTCATTAAACAGCTAATTTTTCTCAGATTAATGCTTACAATTTCCTTTTCTTGATATATTAGCATCATTTGTTGCAGGCCGCCATTCAGGTTATAGGGTTGCTCTTTCTTCTGTTGTCATCATTCAATTCAAAGGGCCCCAATCAGCTTGCTGTTTCTTCTGTCATCATTGGTTTCCTTTCTCTATTAGTCGGAGAATTGGGTCCTCCATACAACCTCAAAATTTGTTTAACTATTAAGGTTATTTCATAATTAAAGTTTTGTACTAGAAGATTGTCTTATATTAGCCTTTTTTTTTTGTTTTGAAAGGTCGGAGGCGCAGCCAAACAAGTCTACTGAGACTCTACATGTTTGCATTGTCTGTTGCAACACTGATTTCGGTTGCATACACTGTTGGAAGTGGCATCTCATTAGAGGTAAGAGGGTTCATTTATTCTGCTTCAGATATGGATCCACTTTTTTGAAATGTGGATCCACTATTTCATTCTTTAGAAGGATAATTGGATTCAACTTGTATTGGAGTCTTTGTTTATGTAACATGGAGTTGAGGTTATTACTGATGCAAGATATCTGGAATTGTGACTATGGAAAAACCAAAACACAGGTGTACTGGTACAATTAAATTGTGGGACATGTCTGCCGTCTGAATGCATATAGTGTTTAACATGATTTAGTTTCAAAAAAAAAAAAGTAGTGCTTTTATTATATAGGTCTATTCCCAAGAGTTGGCTTCCAAATATGCTCGTGCATTCACTTTGTCTTTCAATTCTGTGTATTCTTTGTTCTTTTCTTTTGCTCAAAGGCAGGACACAGGTAGAAGGAATTCAGCTTATTTCACTAAGGCTGTGTTTGGTTTAAAGGAAAAAGTAGGGAAAGGAAGGGAAAGGTAGGGAACCTTTACAAACCATGTATAGGTTTCCCTACCTTTCCCTGCCTTTTTCTCCAAACCAAACATAACCTAAAGGATTTGCTTCCTTTTCTTGTGAAACATTTAGGAAAAACTTATGGGTAACTCGTAGATTACCCACCAGAGGATAAGTGATAGATGAGACAAAGCCAAGTATGGATTTTTTTTTTCTGAATTACTATGCATTTTTTTTGTATTTTCAGAGGGTAGGGGTATTTTGGTCATTTGATGTGTTGTCTGTGGCCTGTGGGGTCTAGCCTAGTAATTTGATTTGCCTAGTTGTAATTTTGTCGTGGTTAGAATTTCATGGGGTGTTCTTTTTTTTTTGGATTTTGAGAGGGGGGGAAGTTGGTCAATGGGATTTTGGCTCCAATTGACAAAGAATACCATGTTCTTTTTTCAGATTAATGTGGGGACCAGGGAAAATTTATTTTCCTGGGTAAGTGATACCCATCTCCTAGGTGGATAAATAACTTTCCCACTTGGAGGGGGGAAGATTCCAACACTTAAATGGGACAAAAATGCCTCATTTAATAATGGATTTTTATGGCTAAAATGGCCATTTTCGTTTTTACTTGGGGAATAAAAGAACATGGGTAAATATACTTGTCTAGTTAAGTGTTTCCCAAGAAAAACTTGCCCAGATAACTGCTAGCTTACCGGAAAGTGAACGGGGCCTCAGAGTCAGTGGTTTAGTAGTTTAGTTGTTATTTAGTTTTCTTATAATAGTGGCAATTCTATAATTTTCATTTTCCCTAGTTCTAGTGGGATTGGCCACTCCTATCGTGTAAAATTGTGCTTATAGTGAATAAGTGTAACCCCTCGAGAGAAAAAAAAGAATGGTTGAAGGTGATGTTTGGCATCAATGATGATTTCTTGAAAATCACTGCCATGTCAGAGCCACATCAGCATTGAAATTTCTGTTTGGTTGGTTGATTTTGGTGATTTTCAGGAAATTGGCCAAAAATCAATTATTGAAATCAGCCCTCAGGGATCACCATTTTTGGTGATTTCTTGATTTCTAGATGTCCGATTTTTTGAGGATGATATGTCATCCAACATGATATTGAATAATAACTCTAATACAAAAACAATTGACCCTTAAAAATCAGTACCAAACAGACTCAAAGCCGATTTTTCAAAAAATGACTTATATAACAGAAATGATACCAACTAGCAATTTTTTGTAATTTCTAAAAATCACCGATTTCTGGATAATCGGCAAGAAGGAACCATCATAGATGCCAAACATCACCGAAGTTTATTTGATATATCTTACATCTTACGCTTTGTGATGAGTGAAGGCAGTGAAAGCAGGGGATTCTATTTTATGAATTGTATGTATTGGTCTTGAATGCATGCCAGGTGTACAAGATTAGCATTATCTTATTTGTATGTTGTAAGCTTTTAAAAAACCGTACTGAAAAATGTTGCAGGCATGATGGTTCCAAATAAACTTCTATCCTAACAGTTGTATGGAAACTTAAAACAGGTTATCCTAAATACAAGTGTCTGGGCAACAAAAAAATTTGAACTTGTTGAGGCTGGCCATGCCATTATTGGTAAGTTTGACGTATGTATCTATCATGTATGTATGTATGTATCTATGTATAACTATTTTTCATCCTGGTATTTTGCTCAGGTGTGCTGGTAAATGGCCTTGCACTTGGCACAACTGTTGCACTCGTTGGCAACATGTCTCCTCCAAAGAGAGCTTCTTGATCTCTGGTTTTAGTTTCTTTATTTGTTTTATGTACTGCAAACTTGCAATTTTGACAATTGTATTACTTCATAGAGTAGACATTTTACTAATGAAGATGTGGTAAATTAACGTGAGCTGTTGCTTTTTTTTTTTTTCATTTTTATATTTTAGGGAGTGAGATCAGTTTTCCTATACCATCCCTTAAAAGTGGATAAAGTTATTCTTCTTCCTTGCCTTTTTTTTAGCATATAGAAAATCCTCTCTGTCCTCGTTTATCATGCGGGCATGCCAGTCCATGTTAGTCCACTCCAAACTGCAAAACAAGTTTTTTTTTTTCTTTTTTTTGAATTCTCTTTTCTGATAAACAAGGCAAAAAGATGCTACCTCCCTCCGCAGGGGAAGTTCAAATCAGCCCCCCACTAGGGGGCGCCCCACAATGTCTCACAGCACATCCCTGTCGTGTATTGGGAATACCCATGATGCCTCAAGATATTCCCAAAACACGGCTGGGATGTGCTGGCGCCCCCTTGTGGGGTGGGGTGGTGGGGGTGAGCGGAGGGAGGGCTGATTTGAACTCGGTTCTAACATCCATTGAGTAAATTCTGACTCTCTCTCTCTCTCTATCTTTTCTTTGAAACAATCAATCAACTGTAATTTCAAGATAACAGAGTCTAGAGTTCATCTAGATGTGTAAATCGGGTTGTGTCATCCTGGGTTGTGTCGTTCTTTCTTGGGATAATTTGGGAGATTGGCCTGGCATGGTCCAAGCCCGTGCGGGCCTGTGTTGTGTCATGTCATGTTGCGGGCTGGGTTGGTTTATGGGCCAGACCAAGTCGGATCGTGGATTGGGCCAAAGCTATTTATTTAAAAAAATTTAAAATTTTAATTTTATATGAATTTTGATGTATATAATTATTTATATATACAATAATTAAATAAATTAATATAATAAAATTAAAAGCAATTGTTTTATTTTATTAATATACTATATATTATTATATATTATAATTTATATAAATATATATGGGTCGTGCCAAGTCAGGTTGTGGGCGACACAACCTATTCGGTTGTCGTGTCAGCTCGGGACCTAAAACCCCAGGCCTAGCATGGCCCACACGAATATGCCAGGCCTGGCATAGCCCATGTGCTGTTGTGTTGGGTCGGTCCAAAGTCGGCGGCATGACCCGATTTACACCTCTAAGTCCATCTGTTCATATCCATCTAAGCAAATTTTCAGTTTGACATGTATCATGTTTGAATGATGACACGTGTCTTCTCTCTCTCTCTCTCTCTCTCCCCCCTATATTCTACTCTTCGTAATATCTCACCTCCCGAAAATTCTCCTCTTTCTCATCCCCTTTTCTTCCCTACTTTTCTGACCCTCAAAATACAGTGAAATTGTTTGGATATCTGAATGTAGTAGCTTCTAGTAACAGTTATTTTACAATTTTACTCATAAATCTACTTGGTTCTTTTTGGATTTGCTAACATTGGATTATAAATGTTTACATTAATAGAATCAATAATAAAAAGTTAACTCATTAATAAAATTATTGCCCAATTAAGAAAATAAAAATAATTATTAAATTATGAAAAACAAAGAGAATTGTTATGAAATAATTATTTTTACAGCATTTAATTATTGTATTATCTATTTAATTATTTTAATATATTTGTTTTAATTATTTAATTATTTTATTGCGTGGGACATATGCCATTATGGAAATTGTGAGAGCGCAGTTTTCTCTTTTACACCTCTAAAAAACATCTGACCACATAGCGATTATAAAAATCAGATTACTTAAGTTGGGTTGAGGTAACATTCTGAGGTTGGGTTGTGCACTTGTTCTCGTCGAATTGAGGATCAAGTTAAATCCATTTTGTCCAGCCTGAGAGTTGCATCCTTTATGGTTTATATATATTGAAGCATCAAGACATTGGCTTTGGTTGAACTCGATTTTCGCCAAACCTAATTTCTAAAAATCCCAAGATTCAGCGAAAACGAGTTGGGCCAATTGGGATTTAGAGTTTTTTTTTTTTTGAAAAAAAAAGAGGGAACTGCCCTATACTTTAGGGGTAGTTAGAGAGTTGTCCTATACTTTTAATTCCAACTTCATTGCATCAGTAAAATAGCAAAATGATTCGAATGTGATGTCATGTATGTATTTAAACAATTTAAAACACCAAAAGCAATCTTTGCATAAATTTTGAGCCCATTTAGAGCTTCCCCAAATCAGCCCAAATGGACTTTTTGCATCTTTTCGGCACACTGGTTTTTGGCAGCTAGATCTGTTATGAATTAAGCAGAAAAAAACCATGACATGGTCTGACCGAMTTATAAACAGCCGAAAACCGTACGGAAAAACATGCCAAACGGGCCTGAGCCAATTGGCACCTTCGGGTCAATGCTGTTATTCTCGCCAAGTTGCCCGCCAAGTAAGTAGGAAGAACCGAAGAACTGAAGATGAGAGTTTCATCCCCAGCAGATCTAATATCACGTCTACGTCTACATGATTGATTAAAAGTTTTTCAGGTATCATACGTTTCCGGTATGGAGTGGAGGAGTGCCTCACTGCCTCAATCTCACTTACAGTTTCAACCAGTAACCGATATCTACTTATTACTGGTTACGAGTTATGACAATCGCATGAACCACGACTGACAAGCGGAAACGCGAAGCTCTGCACGGTCTACCGTGCACCCTCCTCAGTCCTCACATCTAAAATCGAGAAATTTTCGCGCGAACAAAGCACAGAGAACGTCCGCCACCTAAAAGCAAAACCCTAAAATCGTTGTAAGCTCATCCTCATTCTATCCCTCTGATTCCTCTTCTTTCATGGCTTTAAATCATCGGTGAGGATCTGTTCAAATGAATTTCTATTTTCTGAGAATTATTTTCTGTTAGTTTCTATACTGTCAACGAATGAACAGGGCCTTACCCGATGAATTGGTGGGGGAGGGAATTTATTACCAAATTGTGATACATGAATGGAGATGAAGAACTATGGTGCTACTACTAGACTACTACTGCTGCTGCAGTGTTTAGTCATTTCTGTTTTAGTGCACTATTGCTTTTTTCCAGGTACAAACCTGTTTTGAATGCATAGATTCGATATTTATCTATTTGAATTAGCGACTTGTGAATTAGAACTCAGGTGCATTTTATTAACACGGCATAATTACTTCCCTCTCGTCCGCCCCCAGAACTCAGGACCAAAAATGGATTTATTTGGTGAAACGAAGAGTTGACATATTTTCCTTTACTGCCATTTAAGGTTATTAAGCATCTCCAAGAATCCAACAGAACTCTCACAGAATTATTAGTCAAATAGAATTTTAGTTTTGAAACACTCGCAAACTGTTGGCCTTTTCTTTTCTTTCTTTTTTTTCCTGTTTATTGAGTAAACGTAGATAAGTGCCTATGGTTACCGATGATGCGCAATCCGGCCGGTCTTAGCTGTCAACGACCTTGCCTCTAAACTGAGTAGCAGGGAACCTGAAACAGGGGAGATGAGGAAACTCCGGGGGGAACCCGGTGTAAAGACTCCGAAGCTCAAGTTAGAATCCTTCAAAGGCAAGATAAAACCAGATAGC